TTTATAGGCAATTTATTTAATTAAACGTATTTTTTAAATTGATCCAAAATATAAATGGTTTCCACATCAATTTTGTGTTCATAACATTTTATATACAGTTCATTTAATTAAATGTATTTTCTAAATTGATCCACATTATAAATGGTTTGCACATCATTTTTGTGTTGATTGTGAAATCTTGAATTAAAAATACTCTAATTTAGATTGAAAAACAATAGGTTGCTAGTCCTATTTACAAAGAATCCACATTCAGTGATTTGGTCCACCAACAACGTATTATTGAACAAGTATAAAACCAAAATCCTTGGGAATCAACATCAAAGTAATAATACCCTCAAAACAAAGTTAATCAAAGTCATAACTCCCCCTACAAAGTTAATCAAATAACCAAAAACACACTTTATTGAATCAATCCAATCATATATAAATCTAAGTAATCTATCAAAGAATTTTATAACCTTTAAAACAAGGCATCGAATAACTAGTACCACGAAGATACCTCAAAATCCATTTTACATCATTACAATGCAACATGGATTTGATAGAAATCGACTGATCATATCAACATGTACAATACATGGTCTTGTACAAACTGTCGCATAAGGAACTCTAGTCATAAATGCCTTCTCAACTTCATTTAAATGAATATGTTCAACACTCAATTTAAAGTGATCAATAAGAGAAGTGCTTATAGCTTTAGAATTTTCCATCTAGAATCTTTGCAACATCTTCTTGATGTAATACACATAATATTCTTTTCTCTTCTATCACATGATATACTTGTGCCAAGAAACTTTTTAGCAGCTCCTAATTCTTTCACATCGCCAAGTGTCTTCTTTAACTTGTCAATTTGAAAATATTTTTCTTAACGATAAGCATGCCATCAACATACAACAATAGAATAATAAAGTCATCATTTGAGAACTTTCTAACAGAAATACAATTATTAGAAGTAGTCATTTTGTAATCTTGATCACACATCACTGCCTAACAAGTGTAGAAGTTCATGTAAAAGAGTATATCATGTCGGCTTTATACCAACCTCGACATTAAACACATTACAAGTTTTGTGGAGCATCCTTAGTCAAATGGGAAGGTTGAATTCGTGAATAAAGTCATTTTGTTAAAATTGCAGAAAATGTTAGATTCAACCAATGGGAGATGGCTAAAAGGTTTATTAGAAGTGTAATGGGCATATAGGTGAATTCCTTAATTCTATACTAAAGAAACACCCTTCAATTTAGTATATAGTATTGATGCCATGATCTACTAGAAATAGGGGAGCCATCTTCTCGGCGACAACGATATGATAAAAGTAGCAACGAGGATTGTCTTTACATTATTGGAAAGCGAGAGAAATCTCAAATGCACGAATCGGCTACAAAGCAAATAACAACTAGAAAGTATAACTCAAAGTTGAAGTTGAGAACATTCCAGAAGGGTTATATGGTATGGTGCATGGCCAACAGTGTTAGAAAAAGTGAAGGTATGTTCTCAACTAATTGGGAAGGACAATTTCGAGTAGTGGAAGATATCGACCAGCCTATACCTAATACTTGAAATATAATTCACTTGAAGTTTTACATTAGTTAATCTTATAACCTATAGTATATTCTTTCCTTCCTCAATCTTTTTTCTCTAAGGAGGGTTTTTGTTCGAGAATGTTTTCATCAATAAAATAAGAAAGTTTCTTATATATGCATGTATTGTTTATGCTTTCTATAAGTAAAAATATGGCTAGTTTCTCTTACCAAGAAAGGGGTGAATTGGTAACTAATAAAAACTCTTTCTTTTTAAATCTTTCTGGAAAATTAAGATGATCTTTAAATGTGCACAACACAATTATGAATAATAAAACAATAGAGAAATAGAGAAAGAAAAAAAACATAATCTTTTTATCCTAGTTCAACCTTAATGCTTACATCCAGTCTCTTTCAATCAACATTAGATTAAAAGACTTTCCACTATAAAGATTTTGAGTTAAGGCTTTACATAGACCACACTGTCAAAATGTAAAACACCTCTCTAATTCACACCAATCTAATATAGCAAATACAACCTGTAGAAGAACAATTCTCTTAACTGCAACAACCCTTTGAGACTTTTATCAAAGTTTCAAGAACCTCATGTTCTTCTTCCTGGATCGAGCACAGTGAAACAACAATCCTCTTGATTGTAAAACAAAACCTGATCATAATAGAAAACACTTGAGTAGTGCAGAATTTGATCAGTGAGCGCTTCAACTTGTTCTTCAAGAATCCTTCAAGAGTATAACTTTCTTTGAATCTTGATTGTTGGAGCAATTTTGTGCACCTGCAAAATCTCTCTAAAACTCTTTGATATCATATATGAAAGGTCTCAAATGATCAAAGTGTTAAAAGTTTTTAATACATAGCACAATGTGTCATTATATATTATCATACGCATTTTAATTGATTACTTAAGTAATGTAATCGGTTACACTATTGACAGTTGTAACAAAATTACAATTAAAATAGTTCTAATTGATTACACATTTAATGTAATCGATTGTTAATAAATGCTAGTCAAAACATTTGAAAATATGACAGTTATCACTGTTATGACTTAGCTTGAAAACAATTTTCAAAGAATAACAAACTTAATTGATTACATAAAAACAAATTTTGAAAACCTTTTCACTTCAAAACTCATCACAACACATTTCAAAAAGATGTTTGCAAAGACACAAGTTTTAATCGATTATGCACTTAATGTAATCGGTTAAAACTTGTTGTTTTGCCATAGTTTTAAACATAAGCTATTTGATGAACTTAATTGATTACAACATCACTGTAATCGATTATTTCATACAGAGTTGCATTTTGTGCTTGTGGTTTTATCACTTAAAACATGAATATGCATACAATATATATAAACACAATTATGATCTCAGAAGTATGCAGACCAATCAACATATCATCATATGTATTAATCATAAAGAAACATTTACACAACAACAAATGTATCAATTCATAAAGAATCATAAAGAAACATTTTTGTGTTGTCATGAAAACATATATGTGTTGTCATCATAAAAAACCAAACACACTAGGGATTGGATTTAACACTTATATTGCTCCCCTATCAACACTTTCTCTTAAAATCACAAGTGTTTAAGCACGACTTTTGTAGTTTCCCACTACTATCTTATCGGTCCTGTTTGAACACCTTCGTAGTTTCCTGCTAACTACCTTGTTAGTACTGGTTAAACATCTTTGTAGTTCCTTCTCGATTCTAGTTGATCGTCTTCGTAGTTCCCTATTGGCTACCTTATTGGTCCTGTTTAAATATTTTCATAGTTCTTACTAACTACATTGTCAGTCCTGGTTGAACATCTAAATAGTTTCTTGTCGATTACCTTGTCGATCCTTATTGAACATCTTGAGACTTCCCTTTCAGCTACTTGGTTGGTCTTGATTGAACATTTTTTCAATTTCTTGCCGAGAACAACCTCGATCCTAGTTAAACATGGAAAATAATTTTTGATGACCATGATTACTTCGACCTTTAATTAAGCATTACACCTAAAGGATTTATGGGTATTGGCGTCGACATTTCCAATATGACAAGAAATTCTTAAGTCATAAGGAGCAAAAAGAGAAAGAATATAAGTATTAAGAGAAGATGATTTTCATTCATAAGCCCCGAGTGAGATATTCATTACAAAATTGGCCATCATACATCTTTGCAGATATAACAAAACAATTTGAAGAAAAAAGCAACATTGTCATCAAGTCAAATTACACTATTCTACGATTTCAGGGTTAACATATCTGACATTTTGGATTGCCATGACCTCTTTCGATTTCCTCGACAGAGAGACTAGCAACAATGGTGGGAGAAGGTTGTGTAGCAGTATCTTGAGCATAATCCTCAACATATTCGACACAAGAAACTGGGAATTCTTTGACAAAACTTCGATAGTAGAAGGAGGAATGCTAGAGTGAGGTGTTCAAATGAGACAAATGTGTTTCCAATTTATAGTCCATTCTTGGTAACCCTTAGTCTCTCACCTCTTCAATCTCCACCGTTAGATCTCCTCAAGTCTAACGATCAAGGGCAACAACTATTGGACTTCCTAATGTCACATCAAACTTTACAAGTATGAGACCTATCAATCAAACCTCTTCGTTGGTGCATTCATCAAGACTAGGGGCTATTATACCTATGGGGTGAGATAACAAAAAACATACAATTTTTCTTTGCACATACCGATCAAACTAAGACCAACATCATGACGATAGTATAAAGATTCAAACATGTATCCTATCAAGTCTTGAAGGCTATTGTACTATGCATGTTTGGGAACATCTCGGCCACCTAGGCCTAGGCATATCGGGCTAGGATAATATCATATTGGCCACGTCTTTAACATGGACAAAATGAAATTAAGTTAAGGCAAATGCTAAAACATATTACTAGAGTATTAAGCAAAGTAAATCAAGATAATTAGTTACGTGTATTAGGCTCATCCATATAAAAGCCCATAAACATGATATAAATAGTATAATACATAAGATAAATTAATTACGTTCCATTATTACTGTATTTAGTTGGCTTGAATATTGAATTATCTTTTGGATGCAAATCTCCCTTGAAGAAATGAGAACTTATAACATCTTGTCCTGAAGGTGTAAAGTTAGAATTTGAAGTATATGTGAAGAATGAATGAAAAGATCATTATTTGGTCTTGTAAAACATAAAAAAGAAAAAGAAGAAAGAAGAGAAGAGTTATATTGTCTTTCGTATATTTATTAAAGTTATAAATACATTGATCAGTTATATTTTAATGACAGCACAATAATTAGTTATTTATAATTTTATGATTTATTTGTGATGTTTACATGTGTTTTAACTGGTAAGAAATTAAAATATTAGTTATATAATGGGACTTAACTTTATTTTCTTACATAAGCATATCATTAGTCTTTAAGACACCAATGAACTTTTTTTCTAATTAAGTCACGTAATATTAGAAAATTTTCCCCACATTAACAAAAGTAGTTCGGGTTTGGCATGACCCGGCTTGAAAAAAAAAAATAACAGTAGCTTCTCGAATCTCATTTCACTTGTCACGCGTAGTAGCAGTCGCTAGTCGGAACCGGCAAGGTCTCATTCCGATCACACTTCACCACTCCACACAACTCAACGCAACTTTTAATTACACCGCCATTTATCACTTCACAAACTCAGCTTGATCCAATTCATTATTGTTATTATTATTATTATCATTATTCTGGTTCCTATTCGCATTTTCAGTTCTCAATTCTCCTTCCTGGCGCAGAACATGAAGCTGCGGCTGCGAATCCTCCTCATTGCTCTGGTGTTGTGCGTCCCATTTTCTTCTTCTTCGAAGCCCAAGGACCCGTTCCTTGGAATCGCTCCCGAAGGTCCCTTCCCCTTGCTCAGCGCAATACTCATCGCTATTGTTTTCAATTTTATTTGCATTTTGACACTTCTGCGGGTGTTTATGTTTCTACTGAACAGATGACAAGTATTATAGAGCTTCCGATGTTATAAGATGTAAAGATGGATCCGGAAAATTCACCAAGGCGCAGCTCAATGATGATTTTTGCGATTGCGCTGATGGCACCGATGAACCGGGTCCTTATTATTTTTTTAGCGATTTGATTTATTTAATTCGTATAGGATCATCTGGTGTTCTCTATTTTCGTTGTTTTATTTATTTTTTCTTTCCTTTTTTTGGGGGCAGGTAAATCGGCATGTCCGGCTGGAAGATTTTTTTGTCGGAATGCAGGACATTCTCCTGTTGACTTGTTTTCATCCAGAGTGAATGATGGAATTTGCGGTGAGCATGATTCGTGTATCTTTCAAATTTTATAGTTGTATTGTGTAATTCATGCGGTGTACATATAATGAATGCTTAAGCTGAAAAATTGAAACACGGTTAAAAGGGGGAAATTGATACAAGAAAAATTTCCGAACTGGGTAGATGTGCATGAGCAAGGTCCTATTAGTACAGATTTAGAAGTCGTCTTTACGTTGTTGATTATGCATTTATGTTTTACTCTTCAACATGCATTTTGATATGTAAGCTAATAATTTTCTGTGCATATAATTTGAATTTATGGGGATTGTTTTTTATCTTGTTATTGTCACTGGTATTATTCTCCGTACTCTTCAACGGACATGATGAGTACGGAGAGCACATCCTATGTTTTCATCCTTTACTAACACTGTGCATTTGTAGATAATTCTTCGAAGTGTTTTCCTTTGTTATAGATAATGAATTCATAATTATTTTTATCTAGAAAGTTAAAAGTGCTGTTGTCCAATACCTTACTAATCTGTAGTTTGGATTATTAGACTTTTTTGTTTTGTTAATCTGAAGTAATTGGTTTTACTCTCCTGTCTTAATCTATAGATTGCTGTGATGGAACTGACGAATATGATGGTAAAGTAAAGTGTCCAAATACCTGCTGGGAGGCTGGGAAAGTGGCTCGAAATAGACTGGAAAAAAAGATTGCAACTTATGAAGAGGGTGTCAAATTGCGAAAGCAAGAAATTGAACAAGCTAAAGTGGCTATCGAGAAGGATGAGGCAGAACTTTCACAATTAAAAAAGGAAGAAAGTATACTTAAAGTGGTTGTAAAACAGTTAAAGGGTATCTCTTCTTGGTTCTATCCTGTTATTCTGAATTTTTTCTCTATATATATGAAGTACATGGAACTTTGGTTGAAGAATTTGATCTGAAAAATAACGATCATTGAAAAAAAATAAAGGAAATGTGTCTGATGTTCTTGTGGTTAGTTGTTTTCAAATATGACCATTCCATGATGGAAAATATTGCAATGCGATAAAGAAGATCAAATTCAAAAGAGATCCTATGATTCAAATTAAGAATTCGTTTGGTCCTTTTGGGAATAGCCCTTAAATTTTGCAAATTTTCACTTTTACTATTTCATTACTCTTAATCAGGTCTCAATAATTAAAAATTTGCAACTTGACAATTTAGAAGAAACTTTTCAAGTATTTAACTATTATTTAATGGATGAAAACTGGAAAATTTATCAAACTGGTCTATCTAGTAACATCATTTTATTAATAGGCTTATTTCTCATTGGTAGGAGATACAAGTGGTTGTGGACAAATCTACTTAGGGATGCAAGCATATAGTGCTATGTTCAGTTTGAAGTGTTAGATGCCTTTATTGGTTCTGCAAATAACCTTTTTATGTATAAATTAGGGCTGTAGAAATGCATGTGATGTTACATTCTGTTTGAAGTGTTATATGTTTTTATTGACTGTAAAAACCTATTGAATGTATAATTTGAGTACAATTAGCAAGTGTGTAAGATACTCTGTACCAACTGTCTGTTTAATTACACAGATGATCACAAGGAAGCACTTGCATCTGAAATCAGATCATCTGATAGGATATAAGTAATAGGATATAATGGGTTTAAGATAGAAGGAAGAGGAAAAGAGAGGGCAGTTAGGAGGGAAGAGTTGTTTGACAATTAGTTAGTTAGTGGGAAGGGGAAGAAAGACTTTATAAATAGGGTAGGTGTTCTGTACAGGAGGGGAATGATTTTTGTATTCATTTGAGTATAGACAGGAACATTTGTCCTGTGGAGGGGGATTAGGCTCCCTGGCTTTTGCATTTGTGTACACTGTTTGAATAGTTAATACAGAAACCCATTCTTTTTACAGTGTGATTTCATTGTTGTGAGTGTGTGAGTAGCTGTCTGGGTTGGGTTTCATATTCAGAAACCTAACATCATCATTAACAGTTTGTTTAACATATAGGCAGTTGAAGATTTTCTTTTGGCATTTCTCGAATTGTATTATTGAGGAGGGGATGGCATTTTATGTGTTCTGAAAAGTAAACATGATAATGGATATTTAACTGCTAAGTTTACAGATTTCATGCTATGTTTATAGAGCATATGGAATTTTCATCAGGGAGAAAAGGAATATACAATTTATTTTTGAGAAATTTTTTGTTGTGTAGCAATTTTTATCCTATCAATGAAATACTTTCTTTGACAACTATCTTTTACTTCCATTGCAGATCATAAAGAACAAATAGAGAAGGCAGAGGAGAAAGAACGTTTACAGAAAGAAAAGGAAGAGATGCAGAAAAAGGAGTCTGAGAAGAAGGCTAATGAAACAATAGATAAAACTGATGAAGATATGGAGAATAGAAATGAAGCTGGAAAGCATTCGGAGTTAGAAGATAATGATGTAGAAAATAATCATGATAAAATCGAAAATCTAGAGGGTTCTCATGCAGATCAGGTTTAATTGCATTTTCCTTGAAGTTTGCAGAACTTGACAGTACAATTAGATGCACCATACTGAGGAGTTTTAATTTGACTTTTGAATTCATTGATCTGGTACATATGCGTGCTAGAGTGATTTTCCTGATCTCTTATTAACCCTGTATTATCCTTAGGTAGTTATGCTATGGGTATTATAAAAAGAGTAAACCTTGTCAGGCTTCTTTATGCAGTGAACTACCCTACCTCTAAATAGCATGCAAATATGTTGTTATAGGAAGAAAAAACAATTTTATTGCTATTCATCTGTTTACTTGTACTATACTTACAAGCAATGGTGGACAAACAACTAATAACTATTTCTTCCCACTGTGAAGCAGATTACTTCATCTTTCTTATCCACTATTCCTTCACTTGTTGTGTGTTTGTATGTGAACCACATTTACATGTGTGTGATCTTGAACTATCCTATCATGTTGTGGTGGTTTAATTCTTCTATTTATTATTCCATGCTTTCTTACAGGATGAAGCAGGGAAGAAATTAGCAGATGCACTTGATAATGATGATCGAGACAGAGATGCTCCTGGAAGTGAAGGATCTTCGCATAATATAGTAGAAGAGGTGAGTATAAATTTTGCATCTTTTTTTTCTTTGGAGTTTTTGTTAATGTAACATATTCTGCCAAACGCATAAGATTTTTAAGGCCTTTTAGCATTTTAATTTGATTTTTCCCTTAATGTAGAATGCAAAAAAATCCAATGAAGAACCTATTGTTAAATCTGAGGTTAATGATAAGGCTGGAAACGAAGTGTCCTCTGATGAAAACGTCAGTAAGGTATGTCTCTAGTCCATGCTCTCAATCTCATGGTATGATTGGAGTTTACTCTTATGTTACATTCATCTCATAGTTACACATTTCAATTGATGTGTACTGTTTGGTTCTTGATATGATTAGCTCATAAACAAGTATATGTGTTCTTTCATTTTTATCAGTTATTGTCTTGTTACTTTGCTAAAGAAATCATTATTCTGAGACAAAATATAGCACCTATACATCTCATGAGAAACGGTTGAAGTGAGACACAGTGAATTGTCTCGCAACAAAGTGATTTTATTTCCAGAACAGTCACTTGGTTATTTTTGTAGTAATTGATTTACCAATAATTACAATATCTAGTGTACTACAACAAAGATTGCAGAACATTTCTGGTGATAAATAGTTTCACTGCCTTTGTTTTCACACATTTGGATGCAAAGCAACATTATGGATGTTTTTTCAGACCTAAAAATATCGCTGATTGAAAGATTAAAATGGAAAAGTTGAGATACGAAACACCACTCCCTCTTGTGCTGATTCTAATCCTATTTCATGCATGAATATTTCTGAAATTATGGGATTTTTGGTATTGAGGGATGTATTCAGAGATGAGAGTCCTTAAATAATGTTACACTTGAATTTAGAGTTAGATGGCCAAAAAATCAGTGAGTTACCCTCAGCTGGCATATTATATGTATATGAAACAAAAAAAGAAGAGTACAATAAATACACTGAAAGTGCTACGGTCTTTGACTTTTAACTCTAAAAAGAAACATCCAAACGGCAAGCTTTATAAAAGCCATACAAAAAATAATAAATAGTTATTTAACACTCCCTCCCCATCAAGCTGGGAAATATAAATTGTATGCACCAAACTTGGAACATCTATATTGAATTCTTGGCCCTCTTAAAAACTCTGTCAGAATGTTTGTAAGCTGATAACTAGAATTGATAGATTCAATACTAAGTTCCTTGGACATTAGTCTCTTCCTAACAAAATGACAATCAATCCCTATGTGTTTAGTTTGCTCATGAAATATTAGATTGAAGGCAATATGAAGGGAGTTTTTATTGACACAGTATAACACTATATGCTTAACTTCAAAAAATTTCTTACTCTTGAAGGAGTTGTTTAACCTACACAAGTTCATATTAGCCTAGGCTATAGATCTATATTCAACTTCAGTGTTAGATCAAGCAACGATACTTTATTTCTTGCTCTTCCACATTTGAAAATGTGAATCACAACATTTAGTGGTCAATGTAAAATTTTGTATGAATTGATGAGTAATCCTAACGGCATAAGTAATAGTCAGATGAATGAGTTTTTCTACTAGTCTCATATACCTATCTAGATTTGAAATAGTTTCACCTTGGTCTACCAGGACTATTAATGGGTGTGTAATTCTAGACCTTGTCTCCTCCAATCAAGAGCATTTTTTTTTTGTGAAATAACAATATTTGCTCTGATTGAGCCACTTCAATACCAATAAAGTATTTTAGATAAGCCAAGGTCATTGGTCTGTCTGAAAGTGGCTAAATAAGTTCTTTTAGTTGAGAAATTGATAGGTTTATGGATATGAAACCTATCTAAAACAATCACTCACACACTCACAATCAAGAACTCAAACAATAAACAGAATGGGTTTTTGTATTGACTATTCAAACAATGTACACAAATGGCAAAAGCCAGGGAGCCTAATCCCCCTCCACAGGACAAAAGTTCCTGTCTTTACAAAAGAATACTAAAATCAATCCTGCCCCTTGTACAGAACCCACACCTTATTTATAAAGTCTCTCTTCCCCTTCCAACTAACTAACTAACTGTCAAACAACTCTTCCCTCCTAACTGCCCTCTCATTTCCTCTTCCTTCTATCCTAAACCCATTATATCCTATCACCCTATATTCTATCACCCTATATCCTATCATTACACCCCTCTACAGATCAACCTTGTCCTCAAGGTTGGAACCGGGAAGCTTGATCTCATGGCTCCTCTTCATCATCGTGTTATCATATGAAGGGAACTCACTGGCTACTACAGTCCAATTCAAGTCAGGAGGCTTGGGTGGTGGTCTATATGAGAGAATTATTGACTCCTTCTGTTCCATTAATAAGAACTGCTCCTTTTCCAAGATTCCCCTGGACCACATGACTGTTCTATACTGCTTTTTGACCTGTGACATCTTATACTGTGGAGCACAAGTATTGCAGTTTGCTTCTGAAACTGTTTGCAATGCTTCCATTCCTGAAGTTTCTTTCCTACCATCTCTACCTTTCACCACTGTGAGTACTATAAGATGGCTAGTTAATAAAGATTCTGCAAGAAACCTGGAAATTCCTTTGTGGCCATTACTAGAAGCTAGATCTGCAGGTGTTATAACCTCCGTAAGTTAAGGAACTGGATATGTAACAGCCCTAGTGGATGCAACCATGGACACCCAGACCATAGCTGGGTCACTTCTTGGCACCACTGTTTTAACCCCAGACCTCAACAATTCTTCCCCTTTCTTCATTGTTTTGATATACCCACCACAACCTACCACTCTATCTCCACTAAAAACAACAACTTTTGCAACTTTACTTGGAGAAGCAAAAGTCACAACCTTCCCATCATGATCTTTACCTGATGTATTTTCCCTACCAACATTTGTCACGCTATCCACCCTTACAGCAGAAACTTTTGCAACTTTCTTTCAGCAGCAGCTTCTGTGACTTCTATAGTTTGGGATAACTTCTCAAAAAAAAAACCTCTATCTCTTCCTCCGAACCCCCTTATCAATGCCTCTTTCAGCTCTTTCCAAGAAGGGTTCTTGATTTTATTTTTCCAGGCCCTGAGCCAATAGATTGTGCCTCCCTCCATGCAGCTGTAAGACAACTTGAGCCTCTCTTTCTCTATGACATTTTGGATGTCAAAGAACTTCTCTGCCTTAGAGATCCACCCCAACGGGTCCAGTCCCTCAAACCTGGGAAATTCTACCCGCTTCCTCCAATTCTGTTCACCCCTGTCTTCCTCCAACTCTTCTTCTGAACCCTCCTTTTGTCTTTTCATGATAGATTTCTCACTTCTTTCTAAGCCCTTTATGTGAATCTTGATTTCTTGCAGCATTTCTTTCATTTCTTGCATATTTCTTCTCCATTTTGCTAGCTCCCTTCGTTGTTCGTTGGCCCACCTCTTCACAGAATCCATCCTTCCCTCCAGGCATTTATGCTTCCATCCATCCTTCCCTCCAAAGATCCGACACTCCTCTCCTAAGGATATCCGGCAGGTCAGACCAATTGATAGGTTTCTAGATATGAAACCTATCTAAAACAATCACTCACACACTCACAATCAATAACTCAAACTGTAAAAAGAATGGGTTTCTATATTGACTATTCAAGCAATGTACACAAATGGAAAAAGCCATGGAGCCTAATCCCCCTCCATAGGACAAAAGTTCCTGTCTTTACAAAAGAATACTAAAATCAATCCTCCCCCTGTACAAAACCCATACCCTATTTATAAAGTCTCTCTTCCCCTTCCTACTAACTAACTGTCAAACAACTCTTCCCTCTTAACTGCCCTCTCATTTCCTCTTCCTTCTATCCGAAACCCATTATATCCTATCACCCTATATCCTATCAGAAATCCTAGTAGCATAATTCCCCGTAATAATTATATTATTAGCATAGATCATTAGATAAACACACTTCCTAGAGGAAACTGATTCAAAGAATAGCAGTTCTAAGTGTGATGGTAATCCATTGCAATTCTTGAAGTCAAAAAGAAGTAAAGAAGATTCAATAATCAATAATCATACCCTTTGTAGTGGAGAAGAAACCGAAAATTAAGTGAGATCAACAAGAGAAACAAAGATTTTGATGGAGGAAGAAGTGGATGCATCGATAATGAGAGTGAAGATTATGCGCTCTGAAGATCAGTTTCTTGTAACCCTATTGCGGAGTTAATTGATAATAAAGTTGAAGGTGGACATGCAACCAAGCATAATATTTTTCCCAAATTCAGATTTCCATTATATGAATCAGAAATCATTGTTGGACCTAGATTTATAATGTAGGTGGTTGGAATATCAATGGCATTGAAATCTTGGAATTTCAACTTACTGGGTGAGCCTTTGGCATTAAACTTCATTGAATCTATAGATGAAAGCTTGGCAATGAAGCCAATATAGAAGGAATGTTCAGAAGCTGTTGTACAAAATCCACCCTCGTGCCCATCACCATCACTGCCTCCAGACCTGAATTTACAATCAGTAGCCACTGAGTTTCCTTCCTGTGGCAGAAATGTATCACAGTGCTTTCAGGAAGGGCAGATGAAGATCATGGTGAGGAGGAAGGCCATGGGATCAAGCTTCCACCATTCCCACCTTTACGACAAGGTTGATTTTAGGAGTGTGTTGTTAGGATATAAGGAGAAGAGAGATATAGTTAGAATATTAATGAGTTAATTTCTTGAGGAGTTAGTTATATATAAATATGGGAAGGAGAGGAGATAAAAGATGTTAATTTTGGAAATTGAGCATTAGCTTTGTGAATGGCCCTTGGTGAAGAGAGTGCTCTCCTATTTCTTGATCTTTTCATTCTATTTAATAAAACCTTTCTTTTCTTTCCTTTTTCAATTCTTGGTTCCTAACACAATGTGTTTATACGTTTAGAAGACCTTGAGCTCTAATCCTCATCTGTCCAAATTATTATCCAAACAAAATAAGGAAACAAACGTGAGATATTAGGAAATATGGAAAAATAGAGAAACTAATCCTAAGAGATAATCTCTGGGTTTCCCGACAATATTCTGAGATACAATGTTTGCATTATTGGATACTCTAGAATTCTTGGATACTTTAAGATATGATCAAGATATTAGTGGATATTATCATCTATTCTAACATATTATCTTATTGTTTTAGGGGTTAAAAATTAATTTGGTTTTTGCTCATGTAATATTTCTATTGCTGCCCTGAACTCTTTTTCTTCTGCCTTTGCTCAAACCATTTTAAATATATACTTTTAGCAAATGTTTTGGTCAAACAGTACTTCTCAGGGCCTGCTATTAGGCAAATGTATATTTACTAGTCACAGCGGATGCTGGATCACACCTGCAGTAACATTATCACCTTGTTGAAGAAAGGGTCTACGTATGCCCCTTAGTTATGCTCTGGTCTATCTATAAAACTCATGCACTCGAAACCCCTGCTGCTCTTACTTGAATTTACCCATCCCTTTGCCTATCCATATAGAGTAGAGTTTCTACATTGATTCAGTTTATACCTCTCTCCAAATCATCAATTTGGAAGTTTTGAGATCCCTCTTTCATCAAATTTTGGACTTTGGCTGGCTACATTCTGAGGGAGTAGTCATTTCAGGCTTTTTGTTAAATGCTGGGTGTGTCCTGTTTGAGCAGTTACTGATGGTTTATTTTAATGATTTTGTGGAATAAGGAGGCTTCTAAAATTTTGAGCAGTATGCAGTCAGTATAGGTCTTTTGTGTATTTGGATGTAAGTGCTGACATCTTAAAGCTGTGTTTATTTGCCTTTAAACTTCTGAGTTGGGACCAATGTTGTTAAATGATCATTATAGCGCCATCATAATGCTATAGCTACGTGTTGTTCAACACTCTACCATAGGCCACATTGGTATGTTTATATGGCAGATATTTGGCATTCTGCCTTCCACAATTGATAACCTTTGTTGGAGTTATGATTAATGATGTTCTACTCAATCCAATTGCAAGGGAGTTGCCTGAGCGAGCCTACTCTAATACTAAATGAGGTCCATGTCTCCACTGCTGGGATCATCTAATGTCAAACATAAGCCACTAACCACTAAAGTAAACAGGATGGCACATAAAGTGTTTTGTTGGCTGACCCTACCGGCCTTTAAACCAAATACTTAGGCTTGCCTTTCACAATCTTAGACAAAGTAGTGGTTACAATCAACCAAAGATCCATCCATCTTCTCTTTAGAAATCATTTCCATCATTAGAAATCATAATATCATTTTTAATCTACTACATTCATTGAGATCCCTTTCAACTGAATGTGAGATCTTTTGGAAGAAATATCAACCACTAAAATAAACATCAATGAGAATAAAGGATATCTTCTCGTTTCTCATGAAACTGATAGTTTAGCTTACAATCACATTAAAACTTGCAGTCAGGAGACAGTCAGCAATCCACCTGTGTAGCACTCAAGACCTTTCTGTTTTCTAGAAAACTTTATTTGATCCTCCATAACTCACCCAGTCATGAACAATCTCAAATCCCAACCTAATAACTGAACCAAATTTTTGTCTTGTTTGATGTTTGAACATCTTTCTCCACCTCATTCGCTATTTAAGCCCATGAGCCATGTTATAGGAGTCAGGAATGTTTTTCCTTCCTGATAACTGTCTTGGTTATAATTCATGTGCTCTCTGGGTATTTGGGAATCCTAGCTGTAGTACATTCCACTTATTTGTAGTCATTGGCGTTGAATACAGTCATTGTTACTCTTGAAGGTGACCATAATCTACTGTATGTAATGTGCCCCTTTGAATTCTTCAGACTTCAGCTCTTGCCCTAAATCCTACACCGATGAGATTCTTTTCTTTCTCTAAAAAACTAATATATTTCACAGTGATAGAGATGTATTAAATTTTGCAATTTTCTTTCGCTTCTCTTTTCTGTTGGTTATTTTTCTCTTTGTTGGCATATCTGTAGGGGAATGACGTAACTGAAAACACTGAGGGATTATCGAGGGAAGAGTTGGGCCGGCTTGTTGCTTCACGTTGGACAGGAGAAAATACTGATGTCCAAAGTGCTGGAACTGATACTAAATTAGACAAAGAAGATCTTCCAAAGGAGACAAAAAAGGACGAATATGAAGGCTATAATTCTGAAACTGATGATGAGAGCAACAGATATGATGATGATGTCCACAAATATGATGATGAAGATGACGTTGACGAGGAATATCAAGAGGACGAGCATGATGATGACCTTAGTTCCTCATCTAAATCCGATTCTGATAATGAACCAGACTTGTCAGGTTTGTTATACATATTTCATAATCATTATCCAAGTTTGGTATTTAAATGGAGTTGTGATGAGATAGTTTAAATCATCTCATATGGTACCACAACAGATAATCCTTCTTGGTTAGAGAAAATACAGAAAACAGTACGAAATATTTTTCAGGCTGTCAACTTATTCCAGGCTCCAGTGAATCAGACAGGTAGACCCCTAGCACTTTATTGCCTGTATTATCCATGTAGATATAGCTTAAGAGTTAAGACTTTCTCTTTGGTTCCTTAGATGCTGCTCGTGTACGCAAGGAATATGATGAATCAAGTGCCAAGTTGTCTAAAATACAGTCTAGAATATCAAGTCTGACGCAAAAGCTAAAACATGATTTTGGTTAGTCTGTCACTAGTAACATTTGTCACTGTCATACATTTGAGTTACAAAATTGGCGTGAATAAACTGAAATAGAGCTTAAATATTACAGGCCCAGCAAAGGAGTTTTATACATTCTATGATCAGTGCTTTGAGGGCAAGGAGAACAAGTTACATTATATCTCCCTACCAGTTTATTTCTGCTTTTACTTTTTTTCTTTTCTTTTTTGAATGCACGGTTTAGATAGTCCTGTTCATCTCACTTTCTAGTGATGGAAATTTTGATTCAGGTACACTTACAAAGTCTGCCCCTATAAACAGGCTTCTCAAGAGGAGGGTTATTCCACCACCCGTTTGGGGTATGGTTTTAGTAACTTGCTGATAATTTTTGTTAGGGTACTATTCTTCAGTTCAAAAAAGGGGCAAACATCAATGGATGCAAAGAAAGTTCTATTTCCTCCCTCTAAAAGTGACATAATTCAATTTTCTTGTCTTTTGCAGGCGCTGGGACAAATTTGAGGATTCATACAAAGTAATGGTGTTCTCTAATGGCGATAAATGCTGGAATGGTCCTGATAGGAGTTTGAAGGTTGTTTAAATGGATGTGTGATAATTGTTTACAGTTTTGACAACTGTTTTCTTTTGTAATCAGTCTATAATGATAAAATCTGCTGTCTTTGGTTAGATGCAGAATGTAATTTCGCTAGGTGTAGAAGTATAATATATATATATATATATATATATATATTTGTCCTTAATAGAATTTTAATAAACAGTGCCTTCTGGGTTTGGGACAGAGGAAACTGGTGCAGTCCAAATAAAAAAGCTGGATTTTTCAAATTAAATTTTTTACTAAAAGTTCTCTACAATTGTATTCAACTGCAGAGGATTGTGATCCCCATTTCCGTTTCCGTAAACCATTGTTTGTCATAATAGTAATTATAGTAGTTAGTGTAGTTGCACAAGGAAACAGTTTCCAATTTGTTGACCCCTTATGATTTAATTGTTTTGTTTTTAACAGGTCAAGCTAAGATGTGGGTTGAAAAATGAGATTACTGATGTAGATGAACCAAGCCGTTGCGAGTAGGGATTTGTGTCTTGTCTTTCAATGCTACTATCACTATTCTCGTCTCCTTTTCGTCAAATTTTTCTCTGGTGCTCCCTTTTTCTCATTGTTGTCTCATTGGCCTAATGACAGATATGTAGCTTTATTATCTACTCCAGCCCTTTGTCAAGAGGAAAAGCTAAAGGTACTTTTCTATATATGACATGAGAACAGATGTGGTGCTTACCCCGCTATGGTATTAATATCAACTGTGGAACTTTGCAGGAGTTACAACACAAGCTAGAGTTATTGAATACGGAACAACCAGCAAACCATGATGAGTTGTGAACAACCAGGATGGATTTTAAAAGGTAACTTTACTAGGCTGACTCTTTTTCTTGAGACCTGAGTCCTGAAGTTGATCAATTTTCATTTGAACAGGTAGTATGATGATCATCATGTAACTGAAGAAGTGGTGCCCTTAAGTTTTGTATGCTAGAGCTTACCCAAATTTGATATTGGGTGGGGTTATGGAGAGGCTAGGAACATCTTTGACTAGATATTGGTAATCCTTATGGCTGTCCGAGTTGGCAACATTCTAATATGACTAATCCCATTGCACACTTTTCCATTGTTGAACTCAAATACGCAAGGTCTCTGCCTCGGCTTGAAATTGTCCATTCCATTACCGGAGGGTGGATATTAATACTATATGCAATACTAGCGACGGTCAGAATTTCTTCAGCCAAATTTTGTTAGAATGAGTACTTTATTATCGATTTTAAGATAGATAAGTGGTTTCAACAATCATCATTATATCATTATACACTCACGTAATGCATAAAGTTTGCATATTTTTTGTGTGTGTTCTCTTTAGGAGATTTATATCGATCTACTATTAAGATGTTTTTTCCTTTACTTTTTCTTCACCTCCATAAGATAAAATGACTGATGTCTAATAATTTGTTGTTTGTTTAAGATTATGTAATTGAAATATAGTTATGACTATGGAATTTTAAATATGGTTTTGAAATTTAGAATATGATTTTGGATTATATAATGTGAAATATAATTGCAAATTGTGAAATTTGGAGAGATTATGTAATTTGAAACTATATTTTAAGTGCATGTTAAAATTACGTAATCTGAAACTATATTTTAGCCTATGTAATCTAAAAGTATAATTTAGACTGGAATTTATACCTGTAGTTTGGATTCTGGAAATGGAAATTTTGTTTTGGATTTTACAATGTATAATTTAAAGTAGTTTTAGTTCATGTAATTTAGAATATATTTTAGAATTGCATAGTTAAGAGAAATCCGAAGTATTATGGATTTTTTAACCTAAAATATAGTTTTGCCAGTTTTTTCAAATTATTTAAAGTGTAAATTGTTGTTAAGACAATAATAATGAAAAATATTTTAAAAATAGTAAATTTGGATGTCTGGTTGAATAGCCTGTTCAACTTGTCCAAGTATGTAATACAAAATCTTTAGTGTATTAGTGAGACCTTTTATTTAAATAATGAATACTGATATTTTAGTAATGCATTATAGAGGTGTAATAAGAAAATATAACAGTAGACGAAGAAAATATTCTTCTATTATTTATAAGACAAAACTCATCAGAAGAAGTTCTGAGTAAAATGGCCCAATTTGATTAAAAGGGTGTAAAAATGGAAAATTGTTCTGACCCAATTTTCAAATTAATGGTATATATATATATATATATATATATATATATATTCTCTAAACTTAATTTTAAGAACTTTTCATTCAGAAATTTAAGAGTTTTGTACTATAAGAAATGTATGCATGTTTAAGTGAGCTTGTGAATTTGTGCTTATAGAAAGAAGTACTTATCTTAATATGTGTAAGAGGCAAGTCATATTTACTAAGCAAATTTAAGCTGGTTCATCCTTTTGTAGGTTAAAATAAAGTATTGTTCATCTCTTGTTTGTTAAGAAATGTGTATTCTAAACTTATACTCTACTTCATTGTTATAAGTTGTTGGTTTATTTCTAGTTATTGGTTAATCTCTTTTTTAGAGAGATTAACAACTAAATATAGGATCTTTTAAGTTGAATTAGTAGAAAAATCACCTATGCAAGCTTTTCTTCCTTGTATTATTTTATTTACTTGCTTTTATTTGACATTATTTTTCTGTTTTGTGAAGAAACTTTTAAAAATGTAAGTCATTTTTAAAAAAAGCTATTTCTAACGAAAAATCAATTGACCTCCTTCTTGATTTTTGTCTGTTCATTAAATATTCTGCTGTGCATTTTATAACATATAGTGTTGATTGACCAAAGGAGCTCAATCAACATCCTATACTAGAAGTCATTTCTCAGGATGGACCTGTTAGAAAACCTCATTGTGTCATACAATGAGTAGATAGTCAGCTTCGTGGGAGAGAAAGTGGACACCTACGACTATGTAGACTAGAGGACGAGGTTAGGAACCTATTGAGACAACAAGAAGATGCGAGTGATGTATTTCTTGGTGGAGGTTAACACTTCTTAAAACATATTGATTGAGCGACCATGCTTGAATGCGTTTGGTGCAATAGTCTTCATGACTCACCTAGTAATGAAGTTTCCCTTCAATAGGGTGACAATCTACACAATCCATGCAGATAAGAAGATTGCACAAAAAGTGTTACACGACAAGGCTCAAGGTAACACCTTATCTTTTCCTGCGCAAGGCCAAACGTTCAAAAGTGGTAGTGACTGACTTGGATCCCAAGACCAAAACAGAAGATCGTATGGAGTCGCAAGGAAAAATCAAGCAATTGAGCTTGGGAAAGCAGGAAGGTCAAGTGATGAATATGGGCAACAACCTAGACATTAACCACGAACAAGCGTTGGCATGAGTGTTGAAGGCCTACAACGACTTGTTTTCCTGGGTAGTAGTAGACATGCCAAGCATTCACGGTGTGTGATGTCCCATAAGCTGACCTTATTCAAGGAGGCATGCTCAGTTGTGCAAAAGAAATGTTGTATGGATAAGGAGAAAAAGAAGACCATGGAGATCGAACTAAAGAAGTTGCAAAAGGCATATTTCATTTGGGAAGTCACTTACACCATGTGGTTGGTGAATGTGGTCATGCTTAAGAAATTGAGCGACTAATGGAGGATGTGCATAGGCTTCACTGACCTTAATAAGGCTTGTCCGAACGATTCTTATCCTCTTCCTAGCATTAATTGATTGATGGATGGCGTGTTAGATCACCAAATCCTTAACTTTTGAACAAGATCTTCCACCACCAGATCTGTTGGTGCATGAAGATCTACGTGAATGACAAGGTGGTGAGATCCCAATAAATCAAGGAGCATATTAGAGAATTAAACGAGGTCTTTGATAAAGTAAGACACTATAACATGCAGTTGAACCCCTTCAAATGTATGTTCGACATTAGAGTGGGCAACTTCATAGGCTTCATGCTCATCACACAAGACATTGAGGTAAATCCGAACAAGTGCGCGATCATCCTAAAGCTAAGGGGTCCCCATAATCTCAAAGAGGTGCATCGACTAGTAGGTCGTCTAACATCCCTTTTCCAATTCATCCCCAAGTTGGTTGAGAAAATAAATTCCATCTTAAAGATGAAAAAGAACAACTCTCTTGTCAAGTGGGTCGCATAATGGGAAGCCGTGTTTATGAAAATAAAGACCCAATTGGCTAGTCCCATGGCACGATCGGTTACAGAGTGACGTACAACTATAGTTGACCATATTATTACAACTTTAATCTAGGAGATCTTTGAGCCAAAAATAATTTCTTTTGTTAGCAGTGTTTTGTAAGATCTAGAGACATGCTATCAATAGATTAAGAAGGTGGCGTTGGCGCTACTAATAGCAGTCTATTAGTTGAGGCCATATTTCCAAAGCCATCAAGTGGTCATTCGCATCAACCATTCAATCGCAAAGATCTTGAGGAAGCCTAACTTAGTTGGATGCATGGTGAGTTGGTCAGTAGAGCTTTCAGAATTCGACCTCCGATTTGAGCCGCATGGATCGATATGAGGGAAACACCTTGCATAATTTTTTGTGGAGCTCTTAAGACAAGACTAATGTTTGGATCCAACTTAGAAGTTATACGTCAACAAATCGTTGACAAAAAGGATGGTGGAGCTGGTGTTCTGCTCGAAGGACCGAACGATACAGTTGTTGAACACTCATTGGTGTTCAAATTTAAAGTTTATAATAACCAGGTTGAATATGAGGCCTTAGTTGCAGGTCTAGCCTTGGCTAAAGACGTGGAAGCGTAGTGGACTGTTGGACGAACTCCTAGCTAGTGGTCAATCAAATGAATGGAACCTTCCAAATTAAGGACAACTAACTCGTCCAGTATTTTAACAAGGCTACAAAGCTTATTAAGGGTTTCAAAGCCATGGACATCAAGCACATTCCTTAAATAGAGAACACACAAGCCAATACCCTATCTAAGTTGGCAAGCGGTAAGGAGCAGCTAGAATTGTCTACCGTAATAAGGTAAGTGTTGATGAAGCCAATAGTGAAGTGCATAACTACTTCCATGGACGAACAAAGAGGTTGGAGGGAGGATGTCAAGGCCTTGATGAGGAAGCAAGATGAGGGCGAGGGCTCAGCTTAGCGAATGTGCAGAGGATCGCACGGTTCATATTTTTGGGAAAAGATTTATACAGATGAGGGTTCTTTACCCCATTATTAAAATACCTCTAATACTAAGAATCCCAAGACGTGCTCAATGAGTTACACAACGACGTGTGTGGCCTCCATACCAAATGACAAACACTTAAAGTAATTATAAGTAGGCTAATATTGGCTGACTATGGAGGAGGATTACAAAGTTTTCATCCAAAAATACAAGAACTACTAGGAGCATGGTAACAATGTTAAAGTGCTGCCAACAGAGCTGCAAAACACCACCTTTCCCTGACCGTTCGCGTAGTGAAAGATGGACATTGTAGTTCATTCTTGTTCGGTCGGCCACTAAAGAAGTTCCAGTTGGTTGCCATTGATTACTTGACTAAATGGGTGGAGGCTGAATATTGGCAACCATCACAACCCAACAATTGCAGAAGTTCAAGTTATATGTCGCTTAGGACTTTCCCGCACAGTCATAACAGACAATGGTCGTTAGTTTATTGATAAGAAGGTCACGAAGTTCTACAAGAACTTAGGCATCAAAAACACACTAGCTTAGAGAAACACCATCAGACGAATGACCAAGTTAAAGTTGTAAACAAAACCATTATGGTCGAGCTAAAGCGGCGTTTGGGTGAAGCAAAGGGCACTCGGTTAGAGGAGTTTCTTGAAGTCTTGTGGGCCTTCCATTGCTACGGTACCACTGGAGAAATACCTTTTAAAATCACATATGGTACTGATGTCATGCTACCTATGGAGGTTAGTGAAACTTCGCTCAAAAGGCAAGTCTAAGATATGGACCTTAACGACGCACAACTAAGGTTGGAGCTGGCAGTAGTGCAGGCAATGACCTATAAAAGGGTGATAACATGAAGATACAACGTTCAACCTAGTAGCTTCAATGAAGGAAATTCAGTGTGAAGGAAGACTTACAAAATGTGCCAAAAGCAAACACATGGATAACTCACACCAAACTAGGAGAAACCATTTAGAATTGTAGAAGACCTAAAGAACAAGGCCTATGGAATGGAGCACCCGAGCAGGATGGTCATCGCCAATACTGGTAGTGCTTCTCACTTGAAATTTTATTTTAGCTGAGTAATTGTACAAACCATTTGTAAATTTTACAATAATCAATACAATGAGAAATTTTCAAGGAAATACGTGCAAATATAACCTAAACGAAGCATAAAAGGTTGGTGAAGGA